ACAAGCTGGCTATATGACGCTTGCAAACGAATCGAATCTTTTTCTATGCTCCGGGCCACACTTCAGCGAATGCTCTCTATCCCTTCATCCACGATGCATACGAAGAAAATCGAATATTCAAAGCCCCTCTACTTCTTTACTGTGTAGGTGCTCACCGGCACGGGAGTGTCCTCCACCGCGGGGTCATCGATGATACCATCCTCATCCGCATTGTAGCTAACATCAGCGGCGTCACGAAGAAACCAGCAGGCCCAAAAGTGTTCAAATACTTTGTGTCAGTATTGGTCGGGGCCTGCGCTGCATTTGAGGACCCCACAACTTACACACTACATCGAAACTCCAGATTCTGCTGTAGGCGATGCGCTGACGGTGGGTACCACCACTCCATAAGGTCTTGCTTAGCTGGCTGCAGGGCTGTGCAGAAGCTGGACCCACTGTGAAGGTTGTTATAAAGACTGAAACCGTCGCAAAGCCTTCTGCCTAGTTCACTTTGATTGTAAACTGTGTAGTGCAAAAATCAGCCGTCTTTCATTCAACACCGCGGCAATATATTTACAGGCCTTGTGGCAGTATGGCCGCGCTGTTGGACTTGAAGTACCAGCCATATGTGTCCGACCTACAATATGAGTGTGTAGTCTCCTTGTTCACACTTTACCCAACAAATAGATCATTGCTAACCTTGGAACGAAACTCACCAACACAGTCCTGCGGCCCCGCGACTTGAAATCAGGCTGGAGCCAATTGCCAAGAGCAAGGGCGCAGAGCTGTGCATCACAATGCCGTACAGAGTCCTCGGACATGTATCGAGGCTTGAAGGCTACTGTGACGATCATCCTATGGCGTGCCAATTTTCTTTCTTCAGACTTATGGCTCAGGGGGGATTTATCCTTCTCCATGAGCGCAGAGATCGAGGCGAGCTAGTCAAAGTGAACGTGGGTCATTTGCAGGGGATGGCACTCGACGTCGTACAAAGCCCCTCTATTCATGGCAAAGATTGCGTCGTGCTCTCAGCCGGACAGACGAGTACGTATTGCCATGCACTAACTGCGAACTACCAAACACTGCTGGTGCCCGGCGAGAAATATCATCTGCTCTGGCCGGGTGGTGAGATCGAGATGTGGGACTGGGTGGAGCCGTATGAGGAGGACGATGATTCAAACCAAACTTTCAAGCCAATCGCCGTGCAGAGGGCCGTGATGCCACGTCTTATCTTACCTCCGGCTGCTGGAATCGTGTTCACTGCTGTTGCTGCGGACGAGCCATTTCCTGATAGAGAAGAGTACATTGAGTGGGAAGGACCCCACGTTAGTTATGACTGGGCCAATGAAATGGAGTACGTATGGAGGTTGGAACAGGACATGCTTCGTCGCGGGCCTACACCGGAGCCACCAGGTATAACACCCGATGACAGAGTGTAAGTTGCGGATGTAGATGCGTGTGTCTGCTCAACACACCTTGCAAAGGACCTCTTAATTACCACAGCGCCTGATTTATGGGAACATGCTAATATATTTATAATTGTATAGAGCGGATGCACCGGTCTTGTCCTTTGAGATCTTATCTGCATGTCAGGACGGAGAATCGACCAAAACCGTCAACAAAGTGACTTACATTTCCACAAGCAGCACCTTTGGCAAGCCCATCACTTTCCATCATACTTGGGCCTTTCCCCGAAACGGCTGCCGGCTCTGGCGATGGCTGGAAACGGACGCCCGCTGGGAAGAGCACGATGAAAGCCACGTTTCTTTCTGCTATGAAGACGAGGACCAGGACGCCCCCGATGTGGAAGTGCAGGTTGGCCAAAGCGATGAGTTCGTGAGCCTATGGCCGGGCGAGTCGTGGACTCTGACGTGGGGTCATCTAAAGCCTCGTGCTGGCGCGGCGCGGCAGGGCGACCGCTTCAAGTTCGTGTACAAGGGCTCGGCTGTGGATTGGTGGGACTGGGGCACTAAAGAAGACCAGTGAGTACATTAACAAATCTGTCCATTGCTTAAGTTGATCAAGATAAGGAATGCTGATATCTCTTGCGCATTGCAGTCGGGAGACTATTGTGAGCTTGCCAAGTTGTTTGCCGGGAAGCGTACAGAATCCTGTTGATAACGATGGTCGGCCAAGCATCGTGGTGCCGGAAAGTAATGTGGTTGAATTCGTTTGGGAATAATCTGAGATGACTATTGGATCTTGCTCTTGCTCCTGAGGTCGTCTGCCTCCAAATGTACTACGTTATATCCAAACCAACCCCCGTTCTTCATGGCAGGCGTCATATCATTACCCTATCCCTGCTTCGAACGTGCCCGAATCTCACGAACCTCCTTGGAAGCCCTCATCTTGTCACTTGTGACGTGAGTTATGTCACCTCCTCCCTACCCCTCGACACACTATCACTGAGACACCCATAGATTGGCCACGAATGACGCTTCAATCACATTCCATCAATTCCCCTCCAGCATGAGGAAAGTGGCTAAGGCACTCAGAGGCTTGCGCCGCAAGACAGCCGCAGCGGCTACGGTTGTTGCTGCAGACGACCTGGCACACCCACCTGAGCTTATTGCAGCACCCGATACAGACGCTGGGGAAGTTCGTAAATGCGACAGTAATCTCGAAAGTCTGCCAGCCGAAGTTCGCCGGCACATTCTTTCAGTCATGGACTTGCCTCGGTTGAGAGCACTTATCTGTGCCTCCCCCACTTACCACCAACAATATCGTCTCGATCGCAGATATCTACTTAGCGCTTCTCTACTGATAACGCTAGGAAGCGTCAGATTGGATGCCTATATCACAGAGAAGGCCATAGCTTCGCAAGAGGGTGCACACGAATATTTGTCCAAGCTGTTGGACACATGGGAGGAACGACTACCACACAGCGCATCGGTTCAGATCGGTACAATGGATGAAGATGAAGTGGTGGACATTGTCTCTTTTTACTTCCAGATTGCAGCCCCCGTCGCAAAATACTACCTTCAACAAGCCTTGAAGAGCCTGGATGAGTGTGTCGAAGAAGTCGGCCATAGACTGCCTTCACAGCCTGAACCTAGCAACATCGAGTGGCAAAGATGTCTACGAGCTGCCTACAGGTTCCAGTTACTGTGCTGTGCAGTCAAGAGTGCTAGAGTGATCCATGCGAATGGATTTATCCGCACCCTCGACGACACACTTGAACGCCTCGCCGAACGCTTATTTTATACACCGGAGCCATGGGAAGGTGAAGAACTGCTCTCTTTTTTCCAATTTGCCGAAGCTACGTATGAAGACATCTTCGACGATATTGGGGCGGAAGTGCACCCGGATAACGCAAGATTCGACGACCAAGACCGCCCACCCACTCCTGAGGGAGCGTTTGACTTAGCAGAGCTCGGCTATGCACGTAAGCCACGATGAAAACCCTCCTTTATTTCAGACTCCCAAAGCTCACACCTTGCGCCAGTCAATTATAAAGCAGGAACAGCGCTACGTGGTGGTCTTGACCTCCTACGTACCGTTCTCCTCTATCTCCAGTCCGGCGGCGACCGAGAGACCTTGGTGAACATAATGCAGCGCAACATCGTCTCATTCCACGAGGGCTTGTCGACTGACGTAGGTATTCTTTGCGACGGTCGACAACAAGCACGGCGTGCGCAGGCGCCTTCGCGTAAGGATCAGCTCACAAATGAGCGCGCTCCGCTCCCGTTCCAAGGTGATTGTCTGAGTGGGCCTCCGCTGGCATGGACGATTATCTGGGGTGGCACGTATTGTAATATGATTGGCGACTATATACCCGACAAGCTGCGGCAATGGGGATATGTCTTTTGGGATGCGGATAGGCTGGAGGGTTGCGGCGGAACAGACCTCCTGCGTAGACAGTGGGAGGCTCGCTGGGATCATGTTGAAGACCCGAGGGATACTATTCACCTTTGAGTGGCTCTTTGACTCTCTCCGTGGAAGTTATGATCATATGTGCTTGGAACCCTGATTCTGGAGTACATATACCTCTTTATGTTTGTTCTGAAAGTTGATGTTCGTAGAACAAGCACAGGCAGAGAACTTTACCTAGAAGCCGCTGGCTCATGGCCCTGCCCGTGCGCCCTGAGAGCGCAGCCTTCGTTGTGGCCATCAAGCATTTCAGCACCTGGCCAATGCGAAGGCAATTATAAATCATCGGATTGTATGATTTAGAGTCTGTGTGCTTATTGATATCTTGGCACCGGGACTTTAGGTCGCTGAGGTCGATAAAGCGTTCAGATCCTCATAGTCAGTAAGCCTTCTATACGAGGCCCGTCAGGGTGCATGCTTATCGAAACAAAGTCAAGCAGGCCACAGCCCTTCATTCCGCCAAGTTTCGTCTCAGCGTGAGGAAACCATGCAAATGTCTGATTTACGCGATAGATAGCTAGATATAGACACAGGGGCATTACCCCTGTGCGAAGGGATAAGTAAGGAGAGGCACGCCCTGGAATAGGGTATACAAGCCCTATATAAAGGAACCACTCCTTCAATCCCTTATTTGAAGGAATCATCTATTATTCACACCTATAATTGGACTAACTGTCTATACGACGATATCGTCACCCTGACCCAACCAACAGTTTGCCTTGCATCTGATTTCGGGGCAGAAAAAAGAGCCATCAACGTTTGCTATAGCCATTATTCACAAAAAAAGAAATTAGTGCACCAACCCCTCTTTTCAAAACGTAAGTAGTAGCAAGAAATAACAATATGCAGTGACACCAATACAGAACAGTATAAGTATCAGTCTTTCTCCCACCGGCGATATGTAAAGGATGCCACGGAAAGCTAGGATAGTAAAATATCGTCTCGGTGTGTCAAGGCGATGATGCTAAGTCGACCATTCTCGTTTACCGTATTAGCCCGAAAAGGAGTACTGAAGAGACATTATATATCACGTAAAACGTCGATGAAATGAGGGCCAAAAAGCAGGCAATCGTTTCACAACATCGTTTCCGGACAACATTACCCACAAAAGGAAAAGATAACGGCTGGATTATAAATAAAAAAGGAAAAGTTCCCTCGAACCGGATTTGAACCGGTGACCTGTGGATGACTAAGCATGAGAATTTCTATTACAGTCCATCGCTCTGCCAACTGAGCTATCAAGGGTGATTTTTCGGCCAGGTCAATGACAATATATACCAAAATCTGATCCTGATGCTGTACGTTACTCTAAACCGTTACTCTCACTTGAAGGCTTTGCTACATGAATTTATCTGAAGTGTTATATATAATGCAAAGGCTTACTTCCCACCTCAGTTAGAGAAGAGATTTGGAAACCTATACTTGCGCCTTTCTATACTACCTACCTAAGTAGGTCTTATACAAAGTTCAAAGCTTCTCTGTAGTATGCCCGAGCCCACTAGAGCAGTGATCACAAATCTTTGCCCAACTAAAAGCCATATACTCTATCTATAGATCCAAGCTCCATCTTCCTCTCACTATAGAGTACTATGCAATGGTAATAACGTCGTTATCCGTTAACTGCAAGCAAAGGTGCTTTATACAGTCTTTGGAAACATCTAGCACTATTTCAGTCCTGGCTTCCCTCTGCTATCGTGCAAGTTCATAGAGATTAAGGAATATGCCGTCTTAATGCCGTCTCAACGGAGAATGTGCTAGACGGTTCCTAAACTTGTCTTCTATTACTATAAAGTGTGGGCACGTGGAAAGTACGACCAACAGAGGCTAACAGACGAAGCCTTATGGCATCAGTCAGCCGTGCTTTCATACATTCAGTCCTTACTTGCAACACCAATGATGAACCACCATTCGCACATCCTCAGCACTATCGTGACCCTCCTGCATCATCCTTCATAGTGGGGGCACCAAGAACACAGCTCGGGACCTGATCCATGCCAAAAATCCGTCATACCACTAGACCACGCACAATACACCACAACCCTGAAACCTCTCCTTCCTTGTCTTGCGTGTTGCTTTTTAAGCCTGCGTTTTTTAGCCGTCAAAAGACATCATTCACAAATTCAATCTATAGCACTTGATGTAACAAGAGGAGTACAATTCGATGTCAATTGAAATGTAAAGTGGATGGTAGAATGAGGGCTGCGTTCGTGGCACCCAACAGTAAAGATAATGATTCCTAGACATGCGGTGAATGGATTGTATTCCATGGCATAGGGCTTACCTAGATCGCAAAGAATCAACTTCCCTTCCCTACGACATGTCACATGTGCATTTCTACGGTCTCTAAACTCTGCGTTAGTTGAATTATTTGTAAGATGGTTCATATGAAATTCTATCTCGTAAGGTTATGCTATTTCTCTCCATCTGTGTCTTAGTTTATCTGCTCTTCTAGATAAATTATTAGTTTTTGAAATCTTAGAGTAGGTATCTAAGTAAGGATAATAAAACAATCTTTTTAAGAATTAGTCTTGTAGAGAATTAAATATATTAAAATAACTAGGGGCTATTACCAGCTGTTAATTCTAAGAAAAGAAGGGTACTAAGAATTTTAGTCTAGAATTCAATAGTTGAAGCGCGAGGATTCTATATAGATAATAGGATAGTTCTATTAAGCTTTTCAATAGTAAAGTATAGGATTAAATGAAAATAAATAAATTAAGTAAAGCTATATAGAAGAAAGGCTACAGAATTAAGCAAGAGGCATTTTAAGTGGCTTAATGAGCTTACACGTCTTATTATCATTGTAAGAAGCTTTGCAACTGCATAAGTCCATACAGAGTCGTAGTTGGAACATCGTTGTAAGTATATAGGATTTGATTTTGAACGAATCGTCACCCTTGATAGCTCAGTTGGCAGAGCGATGGACTGTAATAGAAATTCTCATGCTTAGTCATCCACAGGTCACCGGTTCAAATCCGGTTCGAGGGAACTTTTTTTGTATTCCTTTGAACTCATACTCTTCTTTTTTTAATTGATAGTCTTCCGGAAACCGTTGTCTATCGACGGTTCTCATCCTTTTTGCATTCGCGTTCGTCGACCCTTTTCGAGAAACGGGGCGCGATTTGTATGCATTGGGACACGCTACTTAAGGCAAGACGAAGCAACGAGATTCGATTAGCAAGCCAACCTTGGAACTTTCCCCTGTCCAACTTATATATATCTCTCCTTTATCCTTAGTTCCAAGGTCTAACATGCCCCTTTTCATTTGCACTGTATGTATACTTTCCTTGATTTAAGGCATAAGCTGGTATAGTATGCGCATTAGCGCGCGAATATAGCGCGGCCACCGGCAGATTTCTAGAATTTGCAAAAGTATAGCGGATTTGTGGGAATTAGGAAAGTAGGACAGTAGAGGTATCTAGAATGGCTGATACGAGCTGGCCGCAGTGCGGTCTTGCCCGGGCAGCACAGCTGTCCTGCTGTTTATCTGGAAAGTCTGTCAATCAGTGCACAATTATCATCTGGATGAGCAAATATGGTCAACCAACGTCCCTCGAGGGCGACGTTTCTTGATATCGAAGTTTACGACATAGAAGGGCTCCTTGCAAAGGAAAGGGTTGCGTTGCGAGAAGAATAAGTATCTCCAAGGTCCGGAATGAGTGGATAGTCGCCTGTCTTGTTCTCTTGCACTTGCCTCTACGTGATCTTTATGTAAGCTATTCACTATCGTTTAGTAAATTCTGGACAATTTTGAAGAAAGCTAGACCAGACATAACTGGGTTTATGTCAGCCTTGCCCTGCATAAGAAGGAGCGGTCTACTACTGTCGTAGATTCCTCCAAATTTACGCTCAGAAACGTAAGCGTCGTCGAGTATCTCTAGAGCCTGAGGAGTTACAGAAGGTCTCTATACGATGGAAAATCTGTCCTAGATTCCAGGATTGAGATCGGAGCTGAAGCCAGCGCCTTACGATCAGCCGCACTGTCAATCGTGCTGTAGGTATGCTTACGACTTGGCGCTCTCTGGTCACGCATTTCAACCAAGCAAATCTCGCTCGAAAGAGGAGCGAATTCCTCACAACAAATTACAGTAGTGCCTGAATCTTGATTCGGCATTACACGTAAAGAAGACTGCCGGTCCGGTATACGAGGAGGTGTCCAAGGTATGTATATTTGTATCTGTCCAAGCGGTATCCACCGGTATCTACCCCGTACATGTAGATAGCTTTTCCATAGCACACCTGGGCACACCACAACTGTCACATCACGTTTGGGTCGCAAGCTGAGCCAGCCACCTTTCGAGATCGGCCATGATGCGGTCCCCTAGCGTCGCTTCGACAGCACAGTCGGCCCAGCTGGCACCGACACTCATTCCCCTATCAACAACACTGACTGGCGAGAACGCGATAGCTGCAGAAGGGACCTCTGTGCTGAGGCCAAATTGGGCTCGGCTGATGGACCACTTCTCCCCGTCGTCGGGTTTGTTACCGCTGCTGTCGCCGCCGCTGTTGCTAGCTGTTGATAGTTTGGGGTCCAGCACACCAATGTTTGTAACCAGCCATGAGAACTGGCGCTTCTTCTTCGCCATGGCACTCATAGTCTGCTGCCAGTCTGTGACATACTTAAATAGCCCGACTAAATCATTTTGCAGCCCAGTTTCCAGTTTTTGTGCTATCTCCAGCCTGTTCTGTGCCGATGCGGCCCAGAGTTCGCTCTGGAGCTCGGCAGAGAGATCTACTTCTCCGTCCATGCTGGTAGAGCCCGGCAGCTTGGACCGGATCCGCGTTGCTAGATCTGTATCCCATCTATGCAGACACTGCGTCACATAGTTGCTTACTACTCTGTCGGACCGTATCCACGGGGCGTCTTCTGAGGCTGGGGGTAGATTTCGGCGATGGTCAACAATAGTGGAACTTTGAAAGCCTGGCGCAGCCGCATTGTTCAGGCGCAACGAGAAGGCGATTAGAGCTAAACCGTTTATCAGGCCGGTCATAGTAGTCTTGTTTCTTCGACAACTGCAGAATGTAGATTTAGTTACCAAAAAATAAAAATAAAAGAAGTGATTTCATGCAAATCAAGAGAGGGTCACAAGGTGTCCGTAGCCTGTCTCCAAGGGCCGCAGTGTGGCAAGTTCTTTGCGGCATATGATGCAAGTGGGAGGAGTGACTTTCTCTTTTGAAGGGTTTGAAATTGTGTCCAAAAAGCCACTTACAGGGCTAGGATTGCGGACACAGATGCTTGACCGACCCAGAAGGCCCGGTATTGAGTTCTGTACGGAGAGGGGCGAATTGGGCACCACGCTGCCCACGTTATATCGCGATTCAAAAATTGCGGCCGCACGTCCTCCCAAAGTGCCTTGGCGAGTACCTTCATACCTATTGGAAGATCCGTTAAGACTTCGATTGGGGTGGGGAGGAACGGAGCCTGTTGAGGCAGTCTGAGGATATTGCCATCCAGGCCCGCCTTGGTCTGCTCGTGAGCTCCGTTATAATCATTAAGGGTCTTGATCAAGTCTTCGTGGAAAACCTTGGCACCCATAGCATCGAACCATGGGTGATTCCACGTGAGTAGGACCTCCATAGAAGGCCTGGGAGTATCTCTTTGCCGAATGATGGTAATTCTCCAACCCGGCTGCATAATAGAAAGATCTGGGAAACGCTCATCGAGCTGGGTGCTGAAGGTCTCCTTCACCATGTTCTCAAAGTCTTTCCCCGCAAGTTGAACCCATTTTATATGTTGGGTTAAGTCGAGACTCTCAAGCTGAATCCAAGAGGGACTCTTGGAAGAAGCATTGATCATACTGACCTGCAGAATCGGGTGTCTCATGATAGTATCCACAACAGCAACCTTGACTGCATTCTCAAGTTGGACTTGCGACTCTGCAAGTCGTGGAGGGATATCATAGCGACAAGACAGAGTAGTGCCACGGTACTGATCCAGTAGATACATGGCCAGTTGGTATGTTTCGCTAGACAATTGGTTATCGGTCAGATCACCAGAGATAGCAAGTGCCAGTGTGCGGGAACAGGTGAGGATCTTACTTGATTCCGAGTTTACGAAGCACCACGGGCTTCGTCTCCGTCCCCTGGCCATGCCTTACTGTGGTTGCCATGGCTCGTTGCTGGATGTTGCGGCGAATCAAGGGATGGGTCTCGTGAGTAGCTAATTAATGCATACGCCGGGAGAAAATGCGCATTAGAAGTTAATGTGGCAGCCTCGTTTGTGTTCCTTAGGCAATGGAGGATGT